TCGACAACCCTCAAAATGGTCTTCAGGAAGGAGGGAGCAGTAGGTTCTCCCTCCAAGGTTAGCATTAAATCCCTTTTGAAAATTTGCGCCTTAACCTTCTGAAGCGCCTCATCAAGAGGAGATGTTGAGGTAGATTTTCCAGACATAGTCGAAATGCTGTGATAAGAAGAACTTTCTCGACCCTCAAGAATGGCAGTCAAATAACCTAGAGGATTTTTCTGTTTCAACAAGGCCAAATCTTCTTTGGTGCGAGACCCTGTCGAATGGGCTCTCTTGCTAATAGCAGAAGCCACATTTACTACCTGTGTTTGAACATGGGCAACTTCAGTATTTGCGGGATTTTGGGCCCTCTCGGTAGAGTTTTCTCTGTCGTCAGCCTCTGGAATTTCTTCATTCTGATTCTCCCCCTCCAGCATACCTTCCCTCTCTGTTCCAACTACAGCATCAGTAGCCTCCTCCTCCTCACCTTCCTGTACATCATCCAGTGGAGCCCTGATTTCTTCCTGTTCTTCTATAGGGCCTTCTTCATTTGTTTCTTCTATGGTCTCATGTTGATGCTCAGGATTTTGGTTCACCTCACTAGCTGAGCTCACAAAAGAGCCTTTTGCTGAAGAAGGCCTATAAGTAGGATCTCCCTTACTATTTAACAAAGTGACAGATCCTTCGACAGGAATTGGAGCCTGTTTAGAAGTGCCAGCAGTATCCTGAAGATTAAAAAAATTTATTCTCATAATTATTATGGAAAAAAGGGCTAGTTCAGGAAATAAGCAGAGTCTGTCGAAGTAAATACCTGAGGAGGAATTTCGGCGCGGGGACTTGAGTTGTCACGCTCACTAGGATTATTCAGCCTAGCGGTTACCTCTTGCTCAGTGGGCTCACTGATGAGTACAAGAGGAGGCCTCGATTTGGTAGTTGCAATCTTGATTTTTGTCTTTGGGCGAGGATCAGGTATAGGAGCTGGTTTCTTTAATTTTTGCCTCTTAAGAGGAACAAGAGGAGATTCCTCTTCTTCATCACTAGGGATTTCAATCTCCTGAACCTTTCGTTTCTTGGGAGTGGTTTTCTGAACACCCAGAAAAATAAGAGTTGGAGGAATCAACATCTATACCATAAAATAGTGAAGGAGAAAGGTATAGCAGAAAGTGAGTACCTTTGGTGAAGGGTTCACAGGAGGGTCTCCCCCTTTGGTGCTTTCAGCAGTCTTTTTGGTGTTGGTCCTCTTGACAGCTATACAAGAAATAAATATAAGTTGGATGTCGAGTGATTGAATCTAAGACAAAGAGATAAAGGGGGAAATATTACCTTTCTTGATCTTGTCAAAGACCAGCTTGAACGCCTCGCGAAGGTGGTTGGAGAAATCCTTCTCGTCGAAGAATTCTTCATTGTAATATTGCCTCCACAACCCCTCAAAAATGGGCGAACACATAAAATTAAGATTAAAGTCTAACAGAGTTAGTACGGTCCGACCAACGTACCTACCAATGTGCTTGGTAGCAGCATCCTCTGAGTAATCTGTGTTATAAAACAATAGTAGCTTCTCTCGAGAGTAGATGAGATACGGAAGTGACTGAACAATACCGAACTGTCGAGAGACAAGATTCGATTGGTAAGCAATCAAACTCAGTTGATTCTTCGAACTCTTGAATCTCAGCGGATTGAACATTCAGTGGACATGTTCATACACAAAATAGAATTGCAAAATTATTTATTAAAAGTATTAAATTAATTGCAAGACCACTCATCATGAGATGAAAACTATCAATATCTACTCGGGGACATAAAATTTTGCGTGCCGCAACATTGATTCACATCAAATCAATAAGTTATCACACCTCTTTTCTTTTACAATTAAATTTTGGTAAAGAACCTAATATTTCTCATCTAAGATGTTTGGAATATGCGGTTTACGTTACAATTTCTCTACCATATTGCACTAAGATGGATCTTCAAATGAGGATGAAAATATATATTAGATATGACGAACTATCGGTTTTGCTAACTGATTGATATGTTAGATTTTATGTTTCTTATTTATTTGTTTTGATTTCTACTCAATAATTTATATTTATTAAAAAATAAAAATAAAAATAAAATAAAAAATAAAATACAAAAATTAAAAACTAACTAATAATAAATTAATATAATATATTATAACTAAAATAAGTTATTAAAATAAAGTTAAAATTCAATCTAATCGATTTTTACTGTAGAACATATAAATTAAACTTACCTAATTATATTTGATTTTGTATGCTTTTTTTTTTTATATCAAATTGCAATTTTATTTTAGTTTTAAATGTTTCTAATTTTTGGGTGTATGTGACATTTGATCCCTTAAAATGAACAATTTTATGAAATAAGTGAGTAGTATTTTTAGTAAACAAATCATCTTTAACTAATGTATTATATATTTTTTGGTCTTAAATATGAATAAGTTTTAGTTTAAAAAATGGATGTATTTATTTTAAAATTAAAACTTTAAATGTAATAATCATTTAATCATTTTTACTTATACACTATTTAGTTAAATAAAATCATTATATTTAGTTATAAATTATTTAATTAGAATCATTATAACTAAGTATTGCGCTGCAAAATGGTTGAGTTATGTCGTGCTATTTGCAACCATAAATTATTGGAGGTAAATAATACCTCTGCCTCAAAAAGTTATAAAAAACATAGAAACATTTGCATAAGCTTTTTATGGAGTGGGAAGAAGACTGTTAGCAGGAAAGCGCCTATTGTATGGGATAAAATCTGTAGGCCAAGAACTAAAGGTGAGTTAAATATTACTTCAGTGAAAAATTGGAACATAGTTTCAATGGGTAAATTATTGTGGAATATCCATAAGAAGGCTGATAAGCTGTGGATTCAATAGTTAGATATATATTATTTCAAAGGTTTGGACGTATTACAGTGGCAAGTCCCTGATTCTTGTTCCTGGATCTTGAAAAAAGATTGTTAAGAGTAGGGAATCGGTGAGTAGAACGAATTGTTGGGTTAAAAGCAAATGCAAGAGGGAACTACAGAACAGGTAAAATGTATAAGGAGCTGCGGAGAGATGGTGTTCATGTTGCCTTGTTGGCTCTTAAATTCGACACCCACGATAAATTGGCCTTATGGGCCAAAAATAGAGCAAATGAAGCCAAGCTGGAAAATTCTTCGACTGGTGGAAAAACTTAGAGAAATATCTGAGTTACAGATTGGTCTTCGACCAGACATAGCCATCAAGCCTTCGACTGAAAAGGTCTTGTGACCTTCGACTAGAAGAACAATCCTCGTGTCAGCATCAAAGACGAATGATGTTTGAATTTGAAGAAGGGAGGGAAATGCAGTTCGCCTAGCAGTTAAGGGAAAGCGACGTGGCAGGAAGATGGAGGTCGAGGGGCATGTAGAAGACACTTATCTTCATCCTAGAGCAAGGCAACCCCTCGACAGTTGCACAATTTTAGTATAAAGATAGGAAGTTTGTGTAGATTTTCCGGGTGTTCAATCTATTGTACTAGTCACTCAACATTATTCAAGTACCCGCTGTGTGTGAAAGAATAATTGAGAATGTACGTTGGAAACACCACCTTTTATTAATCAAATCTTTTACATTGTTTTGATCTTCTTTTGTAAAGTTTACGTTTGCTGCATTTTATCTGCATTTCTATTTGCTTTCCAAAATCACAAACACCAATTCCCCGGTCGAACGTGTGTTCTTCCTAGATATTAACTTTGACATCAAACCGGCATAAAAATTAGCATATGTTCTGGGATCAATCTGATCGATCTCGCGAGTAACCAAAAAGCTTTCTTTTTTGGAGGATCAACGATTGTTTACCAAAAACCACGGTAAACATGCCTGAGACAATATCATGATGTATAATCATGCTCAACCCCGTGCGAAATTCACTTTATGGATGAGTCTATGAAATAAACTACTAACTAAAGATAGGTTGGAAAAGTTTGGGGTTTTTGTGGATAAAAATATTGTTTTTATGATCATTTAGAATCTATTGATCATTTGTTCTTTGAGTGCAATAATTTTAACATTATTTGATAAAAAGTCTTGGCTTGGCTTGGTGTCATAAGAGACACCGGGGACTCGGAGATGGAAATGAAATGGCTTATTGAATAAACGAAAAAAAGTAGATGCATAGACAAGTTATCAAGATTGTTGTGGCTAAAACGATCTATGAGTTTTGGAGGAAGAGTAATAATTTTATATTATCTCATTAAAAAGTTTGAGGACACAATTATTGATAGAATTACTCATAGCATTAAGATTCGTTGTTCTTTATATAACAAACTTAGTATATATGTGAAAAATATATCTAATCTTTGTGTGTATGGTAGTCTGGATCCTAATGATCGGCTTGTTCGATATTGTTTTTTGGTAAATAAAAATTAATGCTATTTGTCCACAAAAAAAAAATAGAATTATAAAACTATAAATTGAATCTAATTTTTTTTATATAAATGCTATTCGTCCAAAAAAAATAGAATTATAAAACTATAAATTGAATCTAATTTTTTATATATATTAAACTCTTGATTCAGTGAGAGACAATAAATGCATGTAATTGAGAGTGGCATTTTTATGCTTATTTTATAAGAATTATTTTAAGAGCCTTCTTAAATTTTTGGAAGTTTCTTTGGAGGACTCCTAATTTAACTAGAGGAATTGCAGAACCAAATTACAGAAGCATATCATAATCATTTGAGATATAGCTGGGTGTGCAATGCGCACACAAGGCGCAAGTTAGCAAGCAAATTAATCAAACAAACCATAAATAATAACAATAATAAAATTTTAACTAAATGAATCCAACAAAACATGAAACAAATTTAAAACCATATTTAACAACTAAATTCACTTCAGTTAATCTTTACTTCCAAATATTCTTCTATACTTTTTGTTCCCTCTTACAATCAATGAGACTCCAAAAAAATAAAAAAGAAAACTAATCAATATTCTTTCCGTTCCATTTCCCACCATCCAAACACAAACAATGTCAAACTTCAATAAAACCAGTCATCCTAAGAATCGAATTCCTCACCCTGCTCAAATCCCTTCCCTTCAATGTCCTTCCATTCCCAAAACACATCGATAATGTCATCTTTCCGGCCAGCCTCCGCGCCATAATCACGTGCGGTGGCACCATCTCTTCCTCGTCCTCGAACTCATACCCGTTACCCCATCGACGAAACATCTCTTCTGGAATCCTCATCGGCTTCGAGCTCGCCACAGTCTTCTTCTCCTCAACCTGATCAATCTCATCACTAGAATTCTCCTCCTCCTCCTCCTCCTCGTACTGCTGCTTCATCGGTGTGTCATTCTCTTCATCCGATTCAATCTCGTCGGAGAAAACAACATCGGATTCAAAAAACTCCTCAGCCATTTTGTTTCACTTGATGTAGTTAAAGATGCTTTGTTAGGAAATGTTGTTGTCTAAGGTTTTGGTTTTGGTTTTGGAATGAAACAGTAAACAAGTTTGAGTTGAATTTATAAAGAACAGAAAAGTTTGAAAATGATTAAAAAATTAAAATAAATAAATAAATAAAAATTATTACAAGAAACGTAGTGAGCAAATAACTCGTGATTGGTTTATGTTGTCAGATGACGTCATCTCACAATGCTTCTGAGTGCGGTCCCCGCCTGCGTGAAAAAAACTACTAGTACTATCTTTTGTTTTTTCCAATGGGTCCCACTTTTTTTAATTATTTTTATATTTAATTTTCTTCTAATTAAGCTGTAACTTGTGGTTAATCACATTATTTAAATGGACACAGCTCGTGAGTTTCGTGTTTCTGCATTTTCCTCCTATCTTTCTTACCATTCTTTGTACTTATCTCAAATCTAATCATTATTCTTCTTCACATTATGCATCAATATTATATATATTATGACATTTGACACGTTATCTATTTGGTTAATTAACTATTGAATTCGGGCTAGGTTCATATGTGTCTCTATTTTATGTATTTAGGTCTTGCTAATAACTAGAGCGTTATAGAGTTGTAGTTCTATAAGTAAAAATTTATCTAAGATAAAATTATTGTGGTTTGGTTAAATTTTTGAAGTTAATTTTTTAAAAAATAATTTGATTCAGCCTGATATATTATAGTTTTATTTGGATTAATTATATATATATATATATATATATATATATATATATATATATATATATATATATATATATATATATATATATATATATATATATATATATATATATATATATATATATATATATATATATATATATATATATATATATATATATATATATATATATATATATATATATATATATATATATATATATATATATTTGATGTTGAATATAATATATTAATATTACAGAATGATAATGATAAATTTTACTTCAAACATATGAAATAATAAAAATATATTAAATTAAATTATAAAATATTATTAAAAAATAAAATCAATATATAAGTATTTATAAAATATATGAAATTATTAAATAAATAAATAAATATTAAGATATATGTATGTTCTTTAATTTTATTTTAAAAAATAAATATAAAGTATAATTTGATCGGAGTGTTTTTACAAACAAAAAAAAAATCTAATACTCTTTTTGATCTATTTATAAAAATAATTTATTTTTTAAATATATTAAATAACTAATGTATCTCAATAATATATAAATAGATATGTTAGTTATTTAATAAATTTAAAAATATTTAAATTTAAATTTATATAAATTTAGGTACCCTACTAACAAATACTCTATTTACATAAGTTAAAGCATTAAAGATAACTATTTTTATTCAAATCAACTTGAAGTATTGTTAAATCTGATGTGATTGTAGTAATTTAAGATGTGAGAAAGATATTGTGTATAAACCTATCAATATGACTCTTATCACTCTTATACTAAAGTTTCAAGAGGCTAAAACAATCAAAGAATTTTGGTCCATAGTTTGTTGCTCAACTATTTACAAAGTAATATCTAAAATCTTGGTTGATAGAATGAGTAGAGTCTTGGAAAGCGTCATCGTAAAAGTTAAGTAACTTTTATTTCTGAGCAGAAAATTCATGACCATGTGCTTCTGGCCTATGAATTAATCAAAGGATATTCAAGGAAGGGTGGAGTGCTTAGGTGCATGCTGTAAATGGATATTCAGAAAACATATGACATAGTGGATTAGGGGGATCTTGAGGCAAACTTAAAGGAGGTGGGCTTTCCAAGACAATTCATAAAGTGGGTGATGAATGTTGTAACTAGTGTGACTTACAATTTCAACATTAATGGGATACACACTAAGGATCTGGCAGCCAAAAGGGGTTTGAGGCAGGGGGACCCCATCTCCCATATGTTGTTTGTAGTGGTTATGGAGTATCTACATAGAAAGTTACAAAGGCTTAATAGAGTGCCAAATTTCAATTTTCATGCTAAGTGTGAAAATTGAATATCAATGACATGAGTTTTACTGATGATTTACTATTGTTTTCTAGAGGAGACATCAAGTCTGTTCAAATGATCATGGAAGCCTATGATGAATTTTCCCAATCAATAGGGCTTTATGTGAATCCAGGAAAATGCAAGGTGTGCTTGAGGGGCATAGATGACAAGACAAAAGAGGAGATCATCAAAACCACTACTTATGTTGAAGGAACACTCCCTTTTAGATACTTAGGGATGCCTCTTTCAAATAAGAAATTCACTATGAATCAATGTTTGGGTCTCGTGGAGAAAGTAGTAAAAAGAATTCAACACTGGAGTGCCAAATTACTTAGTTATGCATGTAAAGTGCCATTAATTAGGAGTGTGTTGTGTGCTACCACAAATTATTGGATACAGTGTATTCATATACCTAAAATGATAATAAAGAGAATAAAAGTTCATTGTAGATCCTTTCTGTGGACTGGAAAATATGAGGTGAGCAGGAAAGCTCTTGTAGCCTGGTGGAGGTTTGTACACCAAAGAGCAGTGGTGGTGTAAACATCTCTAATCTGGCTACTTGGAATCAAGTGAACATGATCAAACTTCTCTGGAACTTAAATGGTAAGAAAGATAGTATTTGGACCCAATGGATACATAATTACTATGTAAAAAAGGCATGATTATGAGTGTTCCCATACATTTTGTTTTCTTATGGATTTTTAAAGCTATCCTAACGAAAAAGGATGTTATGGTGAACATGGATGAATGGCACAAAACTGAGCAAAACCAAGTTTTTAAGAATAAAGTTTTCTACCATGCACTGATAGAGCATCAACAATTGGTAAGTTGAGGGAAATTGTTCTTTGACAATGGAGCTAGGTCGAGGGCCCAGTTTATCCTTTGGCTTGCTTGCCAAGATAGACTAGCCACCAAGATGTGTCTCCACATGTTTAGTCTTATTGACAACACGAGGTGTATGCTTTGCAATAAAGTCAAATACTTAAACTGTTTATTTTTCTACTGTGATGAGATGAAACAAATTTAGCACGGTGTTTGTAATTGGTTACAGGTCCAACACGTGTCTAAAAATTGGTAAGAGGAATTAAAGTGGGTTAGCCATGCTAGCAAAGGGGAGAGTACGAAAGCCTACATCCTTAAAACTACTTTTACATAAACAATTTATGAATGTAGGAAGCATAGAAATGAGACAATATAAGATAGACATGATAACAATACAAATATAAGTCAAAAAGTTATAATATAGTTACATAGGATGTGGATAAAAGCTAAAGTTAGGGAGAATCTTGCTCGCCTAATGATAGAATAATTATTTTGTTTGCTTGGTCTCTAGACTGAATCTTTGAATCGACCTGTACTTAATTTTTTTTTTTGGTAATATAATATATTACTTCTGAAAATAAATAAATATTTTAACTATAATAATATCATTTGAAACTTTAGAGAAATGAAATACACAAAGTCTAAAATAAAATTCTATATAGTTCATGAAGGTAATGATTGTTAGTGCGTGATGCACTTTAGTGAGGAGAGAAATAGTGAATAATAAAGGAAATAAGGATTTATATTATTGAATTTTTCAAATAATGATACAGACTAGGACTATTTATATACAACCCTAATTGGGTTTGGGTCTATACAACTTGGATTGTATTTAAATATTAAATATAATCAAATCTAATCTAATCTAATATTTTAATAAATCTAATTTAATATTTCAACACACCCCCATAATCCAAGTTGTCGAACATCCTCAAAAATAGTCAATCTGAGCTATTCCTAATTTCTTTCTCAAATTCAGGAATTTGTCAATCTCCAATCCTTTGGTGAAAAATTCGGCCAACTATACTTCACTCGAGCAATGCCTTACTTCAAGTTCACCTTAATTTACCTTTTCCCTTAAGAAGTGAAACATTGCTTCAATATGTTTACTTCTTCCATGCAAAACTGGATTCTTCGTCGGATTTATGGCTGACTTGTTGTCGATTTGTAATACAAGAGGTTTCTTCACTTCGACCTTCATTTCTTCAAGTACGGATCTGATCCAAATTGTTTGACATGCAAAATAGGATCCTGCTATATATTCGGCTTCACAAGATGATAATTCCAGCACAGGTTATTTCTTCGAATACCGTGAGATTGGGGCACCGAATACTTGAAAGAAATATCCAATTGTGCTTCTTCAATCTTCCTTATCTCCAGACTAACCAACATCTGAAAAACAATTAACTATTGCTTCTTTGTATTCAGAGTCTCGTCAAAATAGTATTCCATAGTTTATCGAACCCTTCAAATATCTCAGGATTCTTCTTGCAGCCTTCATATGTGACACTCTTGGTTCACTCATATATCAACTTACTAATCCTACAGCGAAACCTATATCAGGTTGATTGTTGCACGCATACCTCAGAGATCCCACAATTTTCTTGAACAAAGTTACATCGAATTTATCTTCCTCTACATTCTTCTCCAATTTTACATTTGGTTCGACAAGTAAGGATGTTGGATTCGAATCATTCATTCTGAATCTCTTGAGTGTTTCTTTGACATACTTCCTTTGATGTAACACCATACCTTGCTTCGTAAATTGAAATTCCATACATAATAAATAAGACAATTTTCCAGATCAGACATTTCAAATTCCTTCATCATCAGCTCTTTGTACTTTGACAAGTTCTCCAAGCTATTTCCAGTTACTAGCAAGTCATGGTCATATAAGTAGATGATTGTTTTATCTTGTGCTACAACCTGAACATAGACACCATACTAAGATTTGCATTTGATAAATCCCGATTCGACTAAGTATGAGTCGATCTTCTTGTTCCATGCCCGGGGTGTCTGCTTGAGGCCATAGAGTGCTTTGTGCAACTTATATACTTTACTCGCTTCCTTCTGAATCAAAAACCATGGAGGTTGTGTTACATAGACCTCTTCGTCTAAAGGACCATTCAGAAATGATTATTTCA